TTAATACTATTTGACAATGCCTCCATATCAATTCTGCATATACCTTCTTGAAAAAGTTCTTATGAAAAAGATCTTTATGATTTTTTAAAACATTTTGTTTGTATATATTAGTATGTAATAATTTGAATTTGACTCCCAATCATTTCTCCCTACTCCAAAGGGTACTCATGATTTGAACAAATTTAAATCTTCAATACACGAGGATGCTTACATGTCAATAAAACTTAACATAGTTTTTTCTGTTACTATGATTTTTCCCTTTATTTTACTATGTAAACTTTGATCCACCATTGAGTCCCTTCCCTACCCTTGGAGGTTATGATTTAAACAAATTTAATTCTGCACTACCAGAGGATGTTTCCATATAAATATCACTAATCATGACTTTGCAATTTTTTAGAAAAAGAATTTCTAAAAATATATTTTAATGTAAAAGTTGGATCCCCCATTGTGGCCCCACCCTATTCCTTTGGGTTATGATTTGAACAAACTAGAATGTACACTATCTGAGGAAGATTCCATTAAAATATCACTAATCATGGCTTTGCAGTACTTGAGAAGAAAATTTTTAAAGATTTATCTATATATTCCAATGTAAAACATTGATCAGCCATTGTGACCCCACCCTACCCCTGAGGGCCATTATTTGAACAAACTTAAATGCATAAATATTAATTAAAACCTGTTGCTTTTAATTTAAAATTCTCAGCCGATTATTGTAAAAAGTTGGACCGACTTATAAGCGGGTCAATGGTTAATCTCTTCAAAATTACCTAAGAAAATACAACCGACTTATAGGCGGGCCGACTTATAGGCGAGTATATACGGTACACTATCTGAGGATGATGCAACATTAGTTTCATCTTTCCTATCCTAATGGTTCTTGAAAAGAAAATTTTCAATGATTTCTCTTAAGTAAATATTCCTATGTAAAACATTGATGGGTCATTGTGGCCTCAACCTTGCCCAGGGGGTCATGATTTGAACAAATTTGAATCTTTCTGAGGATGACTCAACATGAGTTTTATCTTCCTATCCCAATGGTTTTTGAAAAGAAAATTTTCAAAGATTTCTCAGAGAGTATATATTCATAAGTAAAACATTAATGGGTCATTGTGGCATCAACCTTGCCCAGGGGGTCATGATTTGAATTTAAATGAACATTATCTGAGGATGATTCAACATGAGTTTCATCTTTCCTGTTCCTATGGTTCTTGCGAAGAAGATTTTTGAAAGATTTTTCCTAGGTACCCCGGTATATATTCCTTTGTAAAAATTTGATTGGATATTATAACCCTCCTCCTACCCCAAGGGCCATGATTTGAACAAACATGAATGTACACTGTCTGAGGAGGAATCAACACGACTTTCATCTTTCCTTATCCAATGGTTCTTGAGAAGAAAATTTTTAAAGATTTTACCTGTATATTCCTTTGTAAAACATTGATCGGCCATTGTGGCCCCACCCTACCACAGTGCTCATGAGTTGTTCATGAGTTCATGAGTTGAACTCATGAACATGAGTTCATGAGTCGAACAAACCTGAATACACATTACCTATGGGTTACTTAACATGACTTTCATCTTTCCTGTCCCTATGGATCTTGAGAAGAGTTTCAAAGATTTTTCCTATATATTCCTATGTTCAACTTTGATTGGCCATTGTGGTCCCACCATTGCCCCGGGGGTCATGATTTTAACAAATTTTAATTAACACTACCTGAGGATGATTCCACATGAGTTTCATCTTTCCTGGCCCAGTGGTTCTTGAGAAGAGATTTAAAAAAAATGCCATTAATTTTTCACTAATTCATAACTACCTCCCCTTGGAAGATGGCGTGAACAAACATTTGAACAAACTTGAATCCCCTTTACCCAAGGGTACTTTGTAGTAAGTTTGGTTGAAATTGGTCCAGTGGTTCTTGAGAGGAAGATGAAAATGTGAAAAGTTTACGACAACAACAACGACAACGACGACAGACAACGGGCAAATTTTGATCAGAAAAGCTAACTTGAGCCTTCGGCTCAAAAACACATGATTGATTTCAACTTACAAAACTGTTAATTTGAAAAGCTTTTAACCATCAGAAATTACCTTAACATACAGGTGATGGATGTGTAATTACAGAAAATTAATAAATTTTGTATCTTTTAATAATGCAATCTTTCTTTTCATCCCCCTCCCCTTAAAAATATTTTTTACAAATTAAAAAAAAATATTTTCTGTTTTTTAAGTTAAAAAACATGTTACTAAGATAAACATGTAATAAGCATTTCCTCTACGCAATGTTTATTTCAACTCATTGTCTTAAAAAAAACTTTGTGAAGATAAGCAGTGACAATAAGATTTATTTCTAAATAAAATACTTAAAAACAATTTTTTTAAAAAAGAAAATTATCCTGAGAGCAAAACATAATTATCATGTTACATTTGGGAATGCTTTTTGTTTTCCACACATCCTGTCTCACGTGCAATAGAAACTTCAGTTAAATCCTTGGGTAAGTATAAATCATCTTTGGCTGTTTGGAATTGACATTATTAGGAATCTGAGTAGAACCACGAAAAATAAGTTTTGGAAAGATGTTTTCTCTAGCTGGTGTAAAGTAAACCAGGCTAAAGCTATAGCTGATTTAAGTCCTCTCCAAGAACACATATGGCATAATCCAGAGGTTACTATTGTTGGCCAGTCAATTTTCATCAAAAGTAACTTTAATTTGGGCTTTGTTTTTATCAATGATTTCTTAGATTTATATGGAAACTTTTACAGTTTTGATTTTATTCAAAATAACTTGAATATTTAACTATCATGTTTTAAGAGTTATGAAATAAAGCCAATGCCTAGACCGATGCTTCCATCCAGCCTTGAAATTTTCTTGAAGAGTAATGGTATGTATAATGTTCTCATTAGGAATAAAAAAAGGGGGATTATAACATTATAAAATGGAGTGAAAATGGGAAAGAATTTAGTGAAAAATACTGGGAAAAAAATTTTTGAGCTACCTTTCAAAATAACCCAAGAATCAAAATTTCAATGGTTACAATTCCAAATCTTACATAGAATAATAGATCGACAGATAAGAAGTGAAAAATTAAATATCAATTATATCAATTATATCCTAATTTAATATGATATTTCATCTAATACTAAAGTAAACTAAATGTAAAATCTCTACAATTTATAAAAATTCCACAAAACCTTAAAATATATGCTTTGGAAAAGTATACACACATTAACTCTACCAAAACCATTTTTAGACTATTTCAATCTCCTTTAAAAGGAGAGCTCCATATAAAGATATACAAATATGATCAAATTCTAAAGCTAAAATCTTTGATTTTTTTTTCTTTGTCAAATGATAGTTGATAGCTAAAGATACCGTATCTAAAAAAATAAGTTAATTCTGGTGATTAATTTGGGATTAATTTGTTGACCCACCTCCTTAAAAAGAACAAAAACGATCATTTTCCCATACTTTTACAATTTTTCTATGATATGAGTGGGTCTTAGCTCCATTTTTTGAAAGATAATCCTTAAAGTAAAATATACATTTTTGGTTTACAAAAACATGGAGCGATTAACCCATTACACCTTTAAAGTACACTTTTACGGCAAACATTCGCAAATTTCCGAGAAATACTTCCAGTCCATTAAGTCAAGGGTTATATCACAAACATGATTTAAATACCCACAATCATCATGAGCCATGTAGCATAGTAGTTATCGCGTTAGTCTCAAAGCAGTATGATTACTCGGATTTTTATTGCTAGGGGGTTTGAATCCCACGAATACCATCTAATATGTATTTTAAAAGAAAAAAATTTTAAGAGATATTTTTTCTTTTAGAATTTTTTTCCTCATTAATTCATAAATTTCCATAATGAGGAGTTAATCTAAATACTCAATTCACATATTGAAAATGCTTTCTTAATATCTTACGCTATAGGCTTTCTGCCCGCCTTGTCCCCCCATCTTCTTTCATTTTATACCTTAATGTCCAAAATATGATAATTTGAGGAAAAAAAATCCTCATAGACATATAATGAGGAATGATTTACATCATCGCAATAAAAAATATTGTCTTGCTTGGCATACGATCATATTTTGAAACATCATTCTTTTCGCCCAGTTTTTAATCAGCAAATAAAAAAAACGAATCTTGAAATTGTCTTAAAAACTTTCGGTGATTTTGAAATTTTCAGTGATCTACGTCCCTGGTTTAATTAAGTAAAAATCCAGCTGATTATAGAGCCTCGTTTCTAGCTCCTCCTCCTCATTCCTTATATGAGTAAATGCATGCATTTCTTCAGTGTAAGAATTAACCTGATAAACATCTTTATTTTACTATAAATTCCAACAGATCACATATCGATTGTAAAACGATCGGATATTTCTGATGAACAGCTGATTATAGCTTTGATTACAGGTAAGGGACTGGACAAAATCTATCACAATGATGGGACCGATACAAACAGGCATAGAACAATGAGTATTTCCATCGAAGAAAACCATGGGACAAAATTTTTTAGCATTAAGTACCCTTGGGACACAAACTTTTTTCAATGAATTACAGTACTTAATAACCTCGAGAGAAAATATTCATTATATTTAAAAATATATTATTAAAAAAAATTAAAAGTCATAACTCAAACGAAGGATACTAAATTAAAGTCTTATTATGGGCAGCTCTCTTGCAGATTCTAAACTAAAGAAAATGCAATTTCTCAAGGGTTCAGCTTTGTATTTTACTTTATCTATGTGGCCTCCCTAACGTACTGGAACAGGTGAACACTGGTGAACATGTACTTTTTTTGCATTTTAACTACATGGTCATTTCACGCTGATTACCTATTACTGAAGGAATGAATCCAATGGCTACATGTACCAAAGTTATACTGTATAACCTAGGTTGGGGCAGTTTACGCTTTAAATGATTTTTAGTCAAAAAATTAAGAAAAGACACTGATGCAGCCCATTAAACCGTCCATAAGAACAACTAGAGAATGTATTTGTATTTTATGTCCCTTCCTCGGTTGATGTTATGACATATGTATTGGACCGCCGGAAACAGTCTCTCAGTGGAACAAGCATCATCACGAGTCCACTGAGCAGAGTAGCCGCCCCTGCCGGGTAATACGCCATGGCGTACGAACCTGTTTCCTGTACCAGGTAACCTTTGTGGATCAGAAAGATGAATTAGTTGTTTTTATTTTCTATGATTTCTATTTATTATATTTCATAGCTTATTTCCAATAGCAGCCATGGAAGTAACCATGCATTAGGAAGTAACTATGCATTAGCAAAATGATCAATCAACAACGAAAAATAAGTAATATGAGGCCTGGCAGCGCTCGCCAAAATTCCTAATACTTCCAATAGAAATGTTCGCGAGCGCGCGCTTTGTTGAACAGAGGCCTGGTCAACCTCTTTCACGTATTCTATTTTCATATTTAATTATCTCAGACTGAAAGCTTTTATTTTTGCTGCATATTTGCATTAAATCTCGTGCACTGCATGTATTAGCATTATATGTTGAAGAATCAATGCATACATTTCAGTTAAATATACGTCAGAGACTGAAGTGAGGTACATTTTATATAAATGTTTTTGCATTGCTCATGGTAACATCAAGATAAATAAATCATCTAAGTATAGAAAATGTTTTAGAACATGTACCTCCTAAAGGTGGTCCCAGGAGCGTTCCCGCCCCGGAGACTAGAGTTAGATATCCCATACTTTCCCCACTCAGCTCACTTCCAACGAAGTCAGACAAAAGAATTACCAACAATCCGAGGGATATCCCGAATCTCACTCCATACAAAGAATTCAAAATGGCGAATGCGTCCATTGTGTGAAATAGCGGTACTGAAAAAGCGAGGAGACAGAAGCCCGACACAAAATTTGTGGCCATGAACAAGAGACACCGGTTGATTTTCCGATGGTTTCCAAGAATTCCACCAATAACGGAACCAACTACCATTGCGCCTTGATCAATGGATACGAGCGATGCTGCTTGGGTTCCATCAAGACCAACTTTCGTGTAATAATCTGGTCCAAGAAGCAGGTGCACAGAAGAACCAAATTTCCACAAAAGGTTATTTATCGTGTAAATAACATACGGTAAGTTAGTCATTAAACTCGTCGCTCTTGACTTTTCTTCTATCAGTTTCTTTCTCTGTCCTTTCGTAATTTTCTTGGAGACATCTATACCCGAAGAATTGTTCTTACATGTCCCATTTTGATAATTCAGGCCTCCATTTATTTCAGTGATTGTATAAATTGTGCTCTCAGTGAAATCATTGTCATCGGCGATATTCTTCGTTTTAAATTTTTTCCATGACCGTTGAATCGGAGATTCCCTCATTAGACCAGAGAGGAGCACTGTTTGTAAATTCACTGCTGCTAGAATATAAAACGAACCTCTCCATCCGAACACCTCAATTAGAAATTCAATCAAGTGTGGAAACACAACACCTCCAAGCGAGGAACCGGAAGTGACGATTCCTGTAACCAGCCCTTTATTTTTATCAAACCACAGAACAGATAAAGTGTGGGTAGGAAGATATAGTAAACAAAATCCAATGCCTAAAATGAATAAATACATGAAATATCAAACACAGTAAATCGTTAGTTAAATGACCACAAAGTATTTTACCCCAGTGAGTAAGTAAATGATTTTCACTTAGTAAAATACTTTTACAGGCGTAAAACTACATTTCATTATGAGTAACAATGTCCGTGTTTTACTGCAGCAAAAATAATATTGTGGAGTAAAAATTAATAATTGTGACTATCAAGAGTATGGTTGAAGTATTTCGGCAATAAGCAGTTAAAAAACACTTCTTCCCAGAAACAACAATGTGGGACTTGCTTGCTGAAACACCCTGTTTTTACTTGATATATATACAAGTAAAATATTTTTGATTGATACATAATAATATTTGATAATTAAAAGCGAAACACGTGCTACTAGTATGACATGATGGACTTTTCTTGATTATCTCCCCTTGGAAGAAGACACAATTTATATTGTACCAAGTTTGGTCAAAATTGGCCTAGTGGTTCTTGAGAAGAGGTTGATAATATAAAAAGTTTATAGATGGACAGACGGACAGACAAAAGGTGATCAGAAAAGCTCACTTGAGCTTTCAGCTAAGGTGAGTTAAAAAACTTACCAGTTATAACTCCGAAGAACACTATCAGGTATGGTATATTTGGAGTAAATGGTAACACAGATAGCCCGACACTACTCATTATGGCGCCCAATAAACAAACCTTTCTGTAAGACATCTTCCGCATAAGGAAACTGGCAAACGGGCCTTAAAGTAAGTAGTATTTTATGTATAAGTATAATTATTACAACTTATTAAACTATTATTAAATTAATTATTAAACTTATACAGACCTGAGCCCAACTGAAATCCAAGATGTATTAAACCGACAGAAGAAATTATTGATAAGCCCGAATCAAACTCATTTTGTAGCTCTATAACATAGATACCAAAAGAAAGACAGATTCCCAACGTAATGAATTGAATGAGAAATGCTGCAACAGCTATCACTATCCCCCATGGGTTCTCCATCTGGTCAATCTGTACCTTAAACTGATAAATAAGGAATTTAGAGTCTCAATCAAGACCAAAATCTAAAGTGATTGATCAGAAAGATTGTTGTTGATCAGAAGTATGTTTAAAAAGTATCCTTGGTGTTTTAAATTACACAACTCCGACCCTAAAATGTAAATTTCAATTCCTGTTCATGATACTGCAAGTATTTATATTGTATAATATGCATCGTTTGTAGCAACTAATTTTTAAATGTCAATTCTATCTTCAATACTGCAACAGACAAGAACTTGCTAGTTCCAGAAAATAAAAATACTACATCACAAATTAGGATACATTCAGATTTGAAATGATTGTATAAAAAAAAATCTATCGAAGATTAAAATACAAATGCTCGATAACCGTACTTTTTAGAAGTCTTTCAATCATCAAGGGCAGCTTATGAAGTAAAGAAAACAAAGAAAGTTAATAAATCAAGTTTTCTCTTGATTAATTAAAATCAGTTTTTTTTCTCATTTTCAAAATTATTTCTACAAATTTAAATGAATTATACGTAGTAAAAATCTTATCAATCAAGTATACCCGGTTTTATTCATAGGTAATATCTTTACAAACTGTCGCGAATTTCTATACGAGTAAGAAAATATATTCTGTTGTTTGGAGTAAAGATAAAACAAAATTACTCGGATGAACACCTAATTATCGTTTACTATGCAATATGCAATCAATTTTTAATTAACCATCTTTTAAATACACTATATGAAAAGCAGTAACTAAGGTTAATTTCCCAATGAAAAGTTTTAAGAAGGATTTCTTTTCTTGTTTTTGACTGAATCAAATATCAAAATTATATTTGCTTACATTCTGAAAGAAAAAAAAATAAAGTAAACTTTCGGAGTTTATTAGAGCTTTTATTTCCAATGTATTTTCTCGTATTGGTATCAAAAATTTAATTTCATCTTTAATCAACAAGTTCCCGATGAAGTCAAAGCAGAGAATAATCAAAGCTGTTACAGGCAAAGGAAATACCGAGATATTTGATTTTCCTCATTGTTTCATACATCAAATCATAAATTATTAATCAAATTAAATAAATATTTTAATTTTAGTACTTGTTGAAATAGAGATGAGTTTGAATGTTACTAGTATAAAACAATGTTCCCTAGTTGAATTGAATAAAGAGGACTCACGGATTTATGGCCTGTCAACAGGGAATGCTAACTTATCCATAGGCACCTGATCCAATTTCTGAAATTTTCTGGAGCCCGTGTTTAATTCCCTTATTTGCTTTATTTATGGAAATTTTGAAATGGGTTGTTCGTTATCTCCACCTTTTTCAGGGGTTGTTATGAATTTTGCACCCAAAAAATAATTACGTATTTATATTAATTCTGATTATTTAAAAATTAGGTGACAGAGGATATTACGTATTTCTTGGGTTTCAGAAAACAGTGTCTGATTGGAATGATCAACAATATGACTCCACTGAGCAGGGTAACAGATGCAGCCAGATAGAAAGTGACGTCATAGAATTTGTCTAATCCATCAGGTAACCTAATAGAATTAAACACATGTATTTGAAGTTAATATAAATACAGTAAATATTTGTAAAACTAAAAAAAAGTTTAAATATAAATTTATATACTGGTATATTTTAGCTGAAACTGTGTCCATGTCCCTCTAAGCGATAAGATATTATTAAATAACCATTGCAAAAGATGAAAGGATGTTCGAGATATAGTCAGGAAAGTATTACATACAAAAAGAAATGCAGATACCGGGATGCATAGACCAGCATTTCCCCAATATCTGAGGTGTAATGAAACTCAAAATATTCCGTATCACTTTTTAAAACATTTTACATGAATTTTTCTCAATAAATTACTTTTGGATGAAAAATAAAAGAATTGTTTAAACCTCCTAATGGTGGCCCAATGAACATGCCTATTCCACATGCTGACATCAGATATCCCATTCCGTCCCCAATCAGTTGACTTCCGACAAAATCCGACACAATCCGAATGACGAGCAATCCAAGACCTATCCCCGAACTCAGTCCAAACACAGAGTTAATGAAAGCAAGACCCGCCATCGTTTGTAGGACTGGAAATGTGCAGGCAAGTATGCAGAAACCCGATAAAAGGTTTGAGAATAAGAATAAACCGTTTCTGTTGAAGCTGCAAAGATTACCCAGAATTCCACCGACAATACAACCGACCACCATTGTGCATTGTTGTATGGATAAGAGCAAAGCTGCTTGTTTTAAGTCAAAATCAACTTTAGTGTAGTAGTCTGGCCCAAGAAGTTATTGTACAGAGCCACCTAAATTACACAAAAATTATTTACCGTTAATAGAATATTTGGTAGGTTAGTAAGTAGTTTCCTCGTTCTTGACTCTTTTACTGTATGCTTCACTTGTTCGTCGATTCTAGTTTGGTCTCCAGCTTTTCGGCCTGTAACAAAATTTTCAATTATTGATCCATTGTTTCGAAATTTCTTTCCATCATCATCATGGATTGTATAAATGTCTGTGCGCTGCTGGTGAAATGATCGCTAATAGTTTTAGTTCTTGAACTTTTCAATGTTTTCTGCAATGGATATTCTCTCATTAGACTGGAGAAAACGACTGTTTGTAGATTCAGCGATGCAAGAATAAAAAAGGAACCTCTCCATCCAAATCTTCCAATTAAAAATTCAGATATGGAAACGCAACGCCGCCTAGCGAGGAACCGGAAGTGATGATACCTGTAACTAGACCTCTATTGTTTTCAAACCAGAGTCCGGATAGGGTGTGTGACGGAATGTAGAGAAAGCAATATCCGGTACCTAGAATGTGGTAATATTTAAGGAATGAAGCTTATTTCAACTTAAGTCATCCGATATAACATAACTTGGGGCAGTTTACACTTTATAAACCGCGATGCGGTTTATAAGAAAGCGTAAACGTTTTTACGTTTTTGACGTAACTCATTGTGACGTAGGCAAGTTATTTTATACAAAATATTATATGTTCCTCTGAATGATTCAGCCAATGAAATTGCTTGATACAAGTGAAATTAAATTATATTGAATTAATACTTCAAATAATCAGTTAAACAAGAATGTTGAGAAATTTATTATATTATACATTTTACAGTTTCTTGAGAAAATTGAAAAATTTGATTTTAAGACGTGTATATACCTGTTAATGCACAAAGAGCACGATTAAAAATGGTATATTTGGAGTAAAAGTAAAACAGAGAGACCAACACTGCTCATTATGGCGCCCAGTAAACAAACCTTTCTCTAGGACATCTTCCGCAAAAGGAAACTGGCAAGTGGTCCTTGAATATAACCATTTATAGTAAATGATGATAGTTGGTAAGCAAAAATAAATTACAACCAAGTATACAGAATTTTCAATTTGTATTCTTTTAATGAAGGAAACCTCTAAAACACATGTTTGTAGTATAAGAAATATATTTATGTTTGAAATAATTTATATATTAACCACATCAAAAGTTTCTTTGATAAAAAATAAATCAACGTTCGCATGCATTGCACTGTAAACCATGTACTCGTTAAAATGATTTTTGTTGTTATCATAACGAGGACAGTCTAAATGAAATATGCAATGTCTAGTGATTCTGTGTAATGAAATGGATTTCAGAGGGTTGGAAGACGAAGATATGAATTTTTTTTCTAAAGTATTAGTTTAATTTATTTTAATTTTTGGACAAATAGCCAAAGTATAAAACAATGTTGCGAAAAGAAAAAAGGAAGGCGAAGATATGATTTTTTTTCTAAATTATTAATGCCATTTTAATTTTTGGACAAATAGCCAAAGTATAAAACAACGTTGCGAAAAGAAAAAAAAGTTTCTTGACCAAGTCACTTAATATTAGACATACCTGTACAAAGTTGAAAGCCAAAGTGTATGGATCCAATAGATGAAATAATGGACAGTACAGACTCGTACTCGTTTTATAGTTCTGTAACATACATACCAAAGGAAAACAGATTCCAAATATACTGAAAGGATTAAGAAACGCACAAGAACATGATATGGGAAAATTTTCTGACTATGTGACCGAGAATTATGAAAATTGGTCAGATGCTTATTTTGGTTACTTTGCACTAAAATCACTAGTCAAAACTACTCAACCATGAAATGTATGGCATCACGTAGGGGAAATGATAAAAAGTCAAAAACACGTGAATGTTAATGATGATAATTTTGTTATAAAATTTTGTAGTACAATACTATGCATTAGAGTTATAGACATCGTTTTTGCATATTTGCAGTCAGTATAAATTTCTTGCAATCGTGGTATGGCTGACGGAATCTACTGTGGGTTTAGAAATTGAATTCAATATTGCACAAGTGAATAAAAAGGCAAAAACATACTGATGTTCAGATTGTTTTCAACTTTTCAACCAAGTAAAAGTGTTTTTGGTTGTCAGAGAGTGAACTTAAAATGTTTCCAATCAACCATGACGATGACGTTGGCGCGTACCAACGTCACAACAAGATAGGGCTTTTCATCACGCCACCTCGGTTATTGTCAAGGCATTATCACCAAAACTGATATTTATTCAGCAGACAAACATACTCACTTTTTTCACCCTAAACTGACAGAAACTCTCCACTCTAATTTGGGCCGCGAGCTTGGCCTGCCTACGTCGATTTTACTCTCAAACGCACACGTACGCGTCGTTTGCGTAATGTTTTTTAGCATGTTTACACTGGAAAATGTAGCTAATATTTGTCGATATTTTTTTTACAAACATTCACAAGTACTTAACCTGCTGGGTTCTATATATTCTTTTTTTAATCGAAAATTCGCGGGATTCGATTGAGCAGGGGGATTGGTTGACTTTGGAATAGTACAGCTAATCTCAGCCATCAAGACTTCCGTCGAAAGGGTTGAATAATAATGCTTTGAAAAAATAAATGCTCTGGTGAACGCAATGCACAGAAAAATCAAGTTTGTTACTGATGCGAAAGGGAGATTATGAGAATTTTTAGTTTTATTTTTGGGGGGTGTCACCATATTGATATCAATATCTCAGGAACTATCACTCAAAATCGCACAAAATTTTGGTAACTTGTTGATTAAAGATGAATTAAAATGTATGATAAAAATGCTGAAAAACATATCTGAAATAATTGTTTTAATTTAACTCAAAAGTTTCTCTGCGTTTCTTAATCCTTTCAGTATATTATGAATTGAATGAGAAACGCCGAGAAGGCTTAAATCATTCCCCATGAATTCTTCATTAGACTTCAGTTGTCCTTTTACAGGCAAGTAAAAAAGATTTTAAATCACGCCGAGATTTAATAAGTTAATATCAAAGATTTCTTGTTACTCGCCAGATGTCGATTTTTTTTTTATTTTTGCGTGATCCGAAACACATGTGATATAATACAAGTTTTGATTTATAATTGCATTTTAATTTACATGTAACATATATTTATGAACCCTAACGCATATTCTCCATACTTTAGGCCTCAAATTGCTAAATTGTATGGTTGCAAAGTTGTGTACTTAATAATTTTTAAAAGCATGCTAAAACTAGAGGTATGGTGAACAATGAACGCACTAAATGATACCACCGCCTCCCATATGAATATAATGACAGTATCTATGTTTTGCTATGGGAAACCCAAAATATTTATCAAAAAGAAAAAAAAGGAGGTGCACGATGGCAATATGTAATAAAGATTCTGTGAAATTCTCATTAAATTCCATTCAGTGGTATACATGTAAGAGGAGTTGCGGATAAAAGATGGGAACCCCGATAGACAGACGAACGGACGGATGGAAAAACCGATTAATATATACCCTCCCGCTTTTCAAGCGGGGTATAACAATAATGTCAGCTTAAATTGGTCTTTTTCTTAGTAAATGTCAGGAACAGGTTACTTTAAATCATTTTGAGAGAATTTCAAAATCAAATCCGATTTTCCTATTGTCATACATGCAAAATTACTTTAAAAAAACTATGGGAAAAACTTTTATGATTTTGAGCCACTCTTTCTAATGCTATTGGAATACACTGTGTCCACTCACTCACTTTTCAAAGTTATGGCAGGTTGCGTCAATTTAGTGATATTAGATGTCGATACATTACTGAAAAAAACCTTCAGTTTTCAAATTAATACAGCTGTTAAGTATAAAAAGCTTCAAAGAACTGTGCGATTTAGGTATTTACCTCCAACATTCTTTTGAAATACGTGAAAGTATCTCAAAACATTTTCTGTCTAAATTATATGCATAAACTCTATATTGTTTAAGGTTGTTACCATCTACCATTATATACTACACTATTATTTGATGTTTGTTATATTTACTTAATACGTAAAAAAAACCCGTTAAACAACAAACAATCTAAACGTTTGGTCATCTGATGAAGTCATATATTCAATTATACTAGCGCAAATCTAAACTTTAAAGGTTGTCAAATTGCATAGCAACTGTCATTAGAATAATCTCAGACTTTGAGCTGGTATTTGACACAGCTGGCGAAGATGCAGCATCTATAGACTATAGCTCTACAGATGGATGGACATTTTTATTACAGCATATACTCTCTCAACTTCGAACGACGGGGTTAAGAAAGTTACTTAATTGATCATGACACATTGATTCTGAATTTTAATTTTACTAAAAATACTACCTAAGGGGGCTTCAATAAAAATTGACCAATCATGGCTCTGCTGTTGTTAAGAAGATTGAAAAAAAATTCTAAGTATTCCTATGGAAAATTTGATGATTTATTGTGGCTCCACCCCACCAGAGGGGTCATGATTTGGAAAAAAAATCTTCAATCCTCACAGCCAAGGGATGTTTCCAAATGAATTTCATCTTTCCTGGCCAGATGTTTTTGGAAAAAAATGGTTTTCCCAATGTTAAAAAGAAATCCCGTATATTTCTATTTAAAACTTTGATCGTCCCTTGTATCCTATAATTCCTAAATAAAACTTTTGTTCCCCCCCTGTGGCTCCGCTCTAACTCTAGGGGTCTTGATTTGAACATACTACAATCTACACTACCTGATGCTGCTTTCGTATAAATATGACAGGAATTTTAAAGCATGCCACTAAATTTTTAACTATTTCTACATTATCTTCCCTTCATTTGAATAAACTTGAATCCCCTTCACCCTAGGATGCTTTGTGGCCAGTTTGCTTATAATTGGCCCAGTGGTTCAAAGTCAAAAATGCGAAAAGTTTCTACAGACAAAATGTGATCAGGAAAGTTCACTTCAGCTTTCGACTGTATTTGCTGACAAGGTCAGACCATTAGATCTTGCGACATGTTGATTTCAAATGGGACTGTTGATATCCTTGTGTCATTATCTTATTTGTCGCTAACTTGTCTTTTTATAGCCAATTTATGGAAATAACGAAGTTATTAACAATCAAACTAATCGTGAGGGAGACAAAAGTTCGATATATTAACTAAAAGTTCACTGAGTCCTCGTTAAGAGCCCCAATCCCTTCCCTCAAAACTTTACGTCAAAAAGGTTGATTAGAATTTCAGTATCAAGAAAAAGTATTAAAGATTAATAATATCATGAAGAGAAAAAACGTAAGGAGAGGAACTCGTAAGTTGAAAGAACTTGTTTCCAATCCATTTGATTTATTTAAAAAAAAACATGTTCAAAACAAAGAACTTTAGCCGATGAAGTCAATGCCGAGTGATCAAGGCTGTGGAAGGCATAAGAAATTATTATGAATTTATTTTATTGTACTCATTGCTTGTACATCAAATCATAAACAATGGGTCAAAATAAAATGAAATTTTTGTGCCTTGTTGATTAAAAGTGAGTTTTAATGTTACAAAACAATGTTTCATAGTCAAAATCAATACAGGGGGGCTCACGGCAGTTATCTCCCGTCAACAGGGAATGCTTACATCTCAAACCGGATCTGACTGTGTTTCATGCCACCTTTCCTTTATTTATGGAAATGTTGAGATCGATTGTTGTTCGTTATCTTCACCAGAAATATTTACATATTTATATTTCTTTTGTTTATTAAAAAAGATTAGGTCACAGAGGAAATGACGTATTTCTGGGGCTTCCGGAAACAGTGTTTGATTGGAATGATCAACATTATGACACCACTGAGCACGGTAACTGATCCAGCCACGTAAAAGGCGACGTCATAGGAATCTGCCTTCTCTATCAGGTAACCTTATGAAAAACAAATGTAATTAAAATTAAGATAAATACAGTAAATATTTGTAATTTTTTTTTTAAATGGAAAAATAAATTTAAAATAATTTAAATGAAACTGTGTCCATGTCCCTTTAAACAACAAAAATTGTTATTAAAAAGCATGGCAAAGGTGAAAGGCTGTGTGAGATACTATCGTGAGGAAAGTATTACACACAAAAAGAAATACAGATGGAGATTAATTAGACCGGCATGAGTTTCCCAAATTCTGGGGTTTGATGACGCTAAAATATTCCGTATCACTTCTTTTAAACTGTATTTTTTCCTCAATAAATTACTTATGGATAAATAATAAAATAGTTCAAACCTCCTAATGGTGGCCCAATGAACACTCCAATTCCACATGCTAACATCAAATATCCCATTCCGTCCCCAAACAGTTGACTTCCGACAAAATCCGATACAAGTATGACGAGCAATCCGAGACTTACCCCCGAACTCAGTCCAAACACAGAGTTAATGAAAACAAAACCCGCCATTGCTTGTAGAACTGGAAATGTGTAGGCAAGTATGCAGAAACCTGATAAAATGTTTGAGAATAAAAATAAACCGTTTCTGTTGAAACTGCGAAAATTACCCAAAATTCCACCGACAACACAACCGACCACCATTGTGCCTTGTTGTACAGATAAGAGCAAAGCTGCTTGTCTTAAGTCAAAACCAACTTGAGTGTAGTAGTCTGGTCCAAGAAGTAATTGTACAGAGCCACCTAAATTCCACAAAATATTATTTATAATTAATAAGACATATGGTAAGTTAGTAAGTAGTTTCATCGTTCTGGACTTCACTTGTTCGTCGATTCTAGTTTGGTCTGCGGCTGTTTGGCTTGTAGCAATATTTTCAATTATTGGTCCATTGTTTTGAATTTTCCTTCCATCATCATCAAGGACTCTATAGATTGTTTGTGTGCTATTGGTGAGATTATTCCTGATATTCTTAGTTTTTGATTTTTTCCATGTCTTCTGCAATGGAGATTCTCTCATTAGACAGGCGAAAATGACTGTTTGTAGATTCAGCGATGCAAGAATATAAAAAGACCCTCTCCAGCCAAACCTTCCAATTAAAAATTCAATCAGATATGGAAACGCAACGCCACCAAGGGAGGAACCAGAAAAGACGATACCTGTAACCAGAGGTCTGTTGTTTTCAAACCAGAGTCCAGATAGGGTTTGTGAGGAAATAAAGAGGAAGCAATATCCAGTACCTAAAATGTGGTAACATATTGAATTGATACTTAAAATAATCAGTTAAACAAAAATATAGAGAAATTTGTTATATTACCTAGTATACATCATAAAGTTTCTTGAGAAAACTGAAATACAAATTGATAAAACTGAAATACATTTGTACTTGATTTTAAGATGCGTATATACCCGTTAATGCTCCAAAGAAGAAGATTAAAAATGGAATATTTGAAGTAAACGGTAAAACAGAGAGACCAACACTGCTCATAATGGCGCCAAGTAAACAAACCCTTCTGTAAGACATCTTTCGCATTAGAAAACTGGCAATTGGTCCTAGAATATAATCATTTTTAGTAAATGATGATGGTTGGCAAGCAAAGATAAATTACAATCAAGTATACAGAATTCTTAGTTTTTGTTCTTCTAACAACGAAATCTCTAAAAACACACGTTTTGCAGTGCAACAAATCTCTGTATGTTTGAAATAATTTAAATATGAATCGCAACAAATGTTTTTTAAATAAAAAATTACTAGAACGTTAACATGTCTGGCGCTGTAAACCATGAACTCTTGATTGATTTTTTTGTTGTTATCCTAGGAAGGACATTCTAAATAAAACGTGCAATACCTAGTAAATTTGAGTTATATATTCCGTATATTGAAATGGACTTCAGAGGGTTGGAAGTCGCCCGAGTGGCGCAGTGGTTAGAGCGTCTGCTCTAAAGTAGCGAAATAAGGAGTCAATCCTTACGTCGCGGGTTTGAATCCCACTGTGTGACGTAGAGACCGGTCCTTCTGATTAGACCGGATAAACCGAGGTCCCGTGTCGTAGTAGGTGCTAGCTCGAAAAAGATCCTTCCCTGCTCAATGGCCCCGAGTGCAGAGTATAGGACAAAATTTGCAGCTCTCTACTGGCAAGTGGTGGTGTTTCCATATGAGTGAAAAATTCTTGAGAGGGAATTTAAACAATATACAATCAATCAATCAATCAGAGAGTTGGAAAACGAATAATTGAATTAAAAAAAATATGTGTGCCATTTTGATCTTTGGACAAATAGCCAAAGTATAAAACAACGTTGCGAAAGAAAACGTATCTTTACAAAGTCGATTGATATTAGACATACCTGTACAAAGTTGAAAGCCAAAATGTACAGATCCAATAGATGAAATTATGGACAGACCAGTCTTGAACTCGTTTTGTAGTTCTATAACATAGATACCAAAGGACCGGCATATCCCAAATATTATAAATTGAATAAGAAATGCCGAGACAGCTACAACTATTCCGCATGGATTCTTCATTTGCTATTAATTGTCCTTTTTACAAGCAAGTAAAAATAGATTTGAAATCACGTTGAGATATGAGATGGCAATTTCAAAGATTCTTTGTTACTCCCCAAAAGTCATATTTATATATATTTATTTAGTTTTTGTATAATCCGCAACACATCTGATAAATACAAATTTACATTCATAATGCATCATAATTTACATGTAACACATATATTTCTGAACCCCAGCACACAATCTTTATACTCTAGGCTCCAAAGTCTAAGATTGGCAAGGTTGTCTACGTGATGCTACATATCATTAATGATAAAAATACATATCATTAATGATAAAAATACATATCATTAATGATAAAAGAAACATGCTTAAACAATACAGTCAGCTTAAATTGGTCTTCTCCTTTGTAAATGTTAGAAACAGGTTTCTTTCAATCATTTTGAAAAGCAAAACTGATTTCCCTAATGCCATATCTACAAAACTAAGTAAGGGGGGGGGGGAATTATGGTTTTGGGCTACTCTATTTAGGTTAATTAGGTATAATTAAGCTATATTTGATTTCAAAACACCTATAAAGAAGATTAACTTCAACTGCTCTGGAATAAAAAGATACATTAGCGTCGCTTTGGTGAATTTTGGTGAATTTGGTTCATTTCAAAATGCCACGAACATATTGTCCCCCGCTTGAAAAGAGGGGGATATTAATCTGGGTCGGTCCTGATACAGATACGGTATCAGTTCGTTCAATCAAGACGAACTGGTACTGTACCTGTGTATAATTTCATGCCTGGGAGAAATTATTTGAGGAATTATCATGCTGAGTTTGTGTATACATTTACATATCCTTTCTTATTTAATGTAAATATGTTGAAGGCTAGATCAAAGTCTAATAAAAATTGGACAGAAATTATGACACAAGCATTAGAACTATTTTAGTCTGTATAGATGTGTCCCTACAGAGACAGATAATAGAACGTGGGATAATTAACACTGCATGGTGAATATGTAGAAATTTCGCTCTGTGTCATCTCTAAACAGCAGAAGTAAACTCAACTCAGCACAATCAGATACGCTATTTAGACGGTGTGTGCATGTATATAATTATTTAAATCAATTTATCATATTTCAAGTGGGAAAAAATCCGTCATAAGTTATGATACATATGTTTGTTAGCATAACAAATGTTCTTGTTATAATGGCAAAAATGAACTGAAAATTTTTTTAAGTATGTTTTGACATTTTGTTGACTTTTTTTTAAATACACCAAAGTAACTTTTAATCTTTTATTAGTCCATATCTTGTATTTCTTATATACACTTAATCTTGTTTTCTTGCAAATGCATGATTACGTACAATAGTATGCTTTTGAGAGAGAGTGGAGAAAAATACATGAAAATATTAGGGAAGTCAAATCGGTCAATATTTGATAATCAGTTACTCGGACTTTTCCCCGATTGAATATACTCGGTTACTAGGTAAGATGTTGATAACATTTTGTTCTTGACCTTAGTTAATCTCTGTTAAAGGTACTTGGACACAGATTTGAAGTTAATATTTTCTGTATATAACACGAATTATATATTTTAATAGCATTTCACACAAAAATTATTTTAAAATCTTATTTCATTTAAAAGTCATTAAAACCTGCCACTTTTCCTAAGAATTAAGAATAAAGTTAAAATTTGTGAAAGTGCAAGGATGTGTCAATCAAACCCGCCAAAAAATGTGAAGTTTTAATAACTTTTAAATGAAATAAGATTATTAAATAATTTTTGTGTGAAATGCTATCAAAATATATAAGTCGTAATATTATGAGAACATATTAACTTCAAATCTATGTCCAAGTACCTTTAACCCATGGTCACAAATTAAACATGTACAAATAAACATCAATTCATCAGAAATTATTTTATTTTTTGGTACTAAGTTATTTATCAAATAATTCACAAAAAAATTAATGCAGAATTAATACACCCATAATTACAAAAAGTTGTTTTGGATCTATTTGATCAGCGCAAAAGGAGGACAAACTGTAGTGCAGGTTTGTTTATTAAACTTAGCGAACGTTGAAGGGATCGCTAGTCTTATAACAATTCATTTATTCATGGTTGTTTCCAGTTTTCCAGTATATACACAACTAACTATGCAAATTGACTTTCAGCAGTATTGAATATTTTGTTATTTCTAAATATATATTTCCTCACCGTTGAAGTGGGTAGCGGCATTTCTATGCATGTCATATTTCAATGCTGTGTACTGAAAATACTTAATTAAATGATGTTTACTGAAACAATCATTGAAGGATGAACCCATTGATAAGCCATCCATGCAAAAATTAAGGACCACAATAGTTGACATCGACTCTGTGCCTGCTAGGTAATTGGTCATTAATTACTGTATATTCACAGCAACATGTAAAGGAACTTGAACTTTATTCTCATGACTGAGTGACAAAACAGTAAAAAGAAGATATATACAGCATAATGAACATGAAATATTACATGCATAAAGAAAAGATAACAGAGTAATATCAACCAAGAGAGCTAACTCTTTTAATTATAATATCTAACAATTTACAAATCTTACAGAGTTTATTAGTATTGGTTACATTATGAAGCATTTCAAATTTCAAAATATTTGGATTCAAATAAAAATATTTTGACAAATACATGAGTTCTTTATTGACACATAAAAATAAGTGCATTTAAATAAGTAATGAAATTCATCCTCAATGTCATTGTTATTACATAATTTACAAATTCTGTTTTCTCTAGGGATTATAAACCATCTACCAGTCTCGATGGGTAATTTGTATTCCCAGTTCTAAATAAACAATATTTTTTGGATTGTTTTGGAGGCAATTTCAACAAATAGTCTTCAAAAATTTATGATTTTTAAAAATTCTATAGTTCAACCCTTTGGGGGAAGTTTGCACTTCACTAAACCATGTTTGTTTAAACTGATCTAAATGAGTGGTATATACTTTATTTTTAAGCCAAGATATATTAATTGAACTTTCATACCAGACATAAGTCAATCCACTTTCATTTAAAATTTTCTGTACAAAATCACACCATGGATTCTTATTAGTCCAGTCAATTTAGCAAAATTTGGGGCATGACCTTAAACAAATTGCAACAGAAAAAAATTTTGTGGCATACGCCTCTATACTCTCATATCATACTTAAATAAAAAATCCACCAAAATCCTCTAGAGGGAAATAATTTTTTTTTGCTTGCAATTAATGATATTTTGGGTCACAAATTTGTCCAAAAATAATTCAATTGATTCATTGTTACAGACTTTTATCTTAAAGTTAACCATCAATATACATACGGACATAAATGTATTTTAAAAATTAATTAATAAATGTTTAGAATATAATGTTTTTTTGAATTTTTTGTTGATAGTTTGAGTCGATTTAAGGGGGCCGAGTCTAATTCGAGTGCGCATGTCTTTGCGCAGCTTTTCAATTTCATGCAGTCATTTGTGCGACGGTACACCCTTGCCAAATGTTACGATTTTGATACAAAATTAACATTATCTGTAACCCCTACTTTTCTGAAAATGTTATTTTACGACAGTAATTAGGGGGAAAAAAAACGCCGAAATGGCTCTACCGACGTCACAATTTTAGGATTTTGTAAGCAACGCATGACGCTGAAGAAAGACGCATGACTCGCTTGTATGTTCAAGACGTCCATGGATATTATACTAAAAACTGATGACAAATCATCTAAATAAGCATACTAACAATTAAAACATTGCTATTTTTTTTAAACAAAAAAAATCCTATGTGCCGATAATTCATCTACATTCATATGTAGTTATACTATAATATGGCAATTTTAGTGGTACTGGGCTTTAAAAAATAAATTTAGTAATTGATTCCTAGACCAAATTAGATGGTGAATTTTTTTGAATTTTCACTATTTTGTGACTTTTTACAATAACTCTCATGTACTTGAATAAAAAAGAAATCTCTAGGGCAGAAATACAAAAAATATGGAAAAAATATTATAAATTGGCGCTTTTCCAACAAATTCCCACAGGGTCCAATAGTAAAATTTGACAACTTTTGAGATGGTCCCCTAAGAAATCGGGGTAGTAAGCATTCGATTTTTAGGTCACTCAGGTGACCTATTGCCATCCGTGTTTGTCCGTCGGCGTCCGTCGTCCGTCGTTCGTCGTGTGTTAACATTTGAACATTTTCAGCTTCTTCTCTGAAACCGCAAAACCAATTTCAACCAAATTTTGTATATAGCATCTGTGGATGAAGGGGAACAAAAATTGTGAATTTCATGGTCCCTGCCCCCCCCCCCCGGGTCTGAGGGGTGGGGCCAAAACCACTAAAATTAATGCAATCTTTAAAAATCTTCTTCTTTACTCCTGGACATCAAGCAGTCAAACTGTTTGCATGATTGTAATCATAATTGAAATAAGCAAAACCTTTGAAATATTCATAAACTTTAAAATTCTGCATCGCTCTCAAATTCACTTTCATTTTTTGACTAAAGTTACTATAAAGCCCTTTGGTAAACACATTATCATTCATTATCATCAATTTTGTGACGTAAACCAGACTATTGTGACGTTAGCCTGGTTCCCTGTCCCTGTTTTGCTTCATATACTCCGCGTCACTAGATGTAGGACACATATAAAATAACAAATAAATCCTTTAAAAAATTAAGAAAAATAGAGGAAATTCGGATGGGCCAAATTCCATTTTTGTTAAACTATTTATGTCAATTTGGTAATATCACCTTATAGACCATATATGGCAACATCTTTTTATGAAAAGGAAAAAGAGCTAATCTTTAGAAATAGAGAACCGTATCACACGATTGTGTGCATTATTTTTCATTCTTAAGGGTTTGCTTTTGTGTTCAGCCAAGTGAAACTCGTATAAAATAAAAATCTCAATATCTTGATAAATACTTCTTGCTTTTTCATAAAACTTAAGCCATGTCAACTTCTATTGCAAAGCTGTCTTGAAATGTATCCAATTTGGTTATCACTTGCAATGTCTTGCAGCAGCAATGTGCATAATACACTTGCAGGACTGCACAGCTGCAGGTCTAATAAAATAATAAAATGACATTTGTCGTATA